CAGGCTTACTCTCTTTCCATTATCTAATTTTTCTCTTTAACATTTTATAGCTAAACTGTCCACAGTGGCTGTCCTACATCCCAATTTACCTCCTAAAGCAGAGTTTGGAAGTGTAACAAGTTATTTATCCCTTGGATTTTCTCCTATCTCAAGGCTGCAGAGTGGACCCTATTAGGATCCTGTTGAGCTAAGTCAATCACCTCTGGGTTTGAGCAGTCTTCTCTGCTCAATTTTTATCATTTTCTCTGTGTACCATGATGTGGATGTTGGGAAGGGCTAGCTTGAGTGCTCTTCTCAATCCTTGGTAAACTGGGCTTGCCCCTGATACTCCAAAGAAATTATCCTAGCCATAGTGACGTTTTTTCTTTTTCTAAATCCAATGGATGATTTTTAGTATCTATTTTACTTCTGGATAGCATCTGACCTCTCCAACTTTTAGTCCCTCTTTAGCTTCTGTGTTACCACTCTTTCCTGATTTTCCATTTAAAAATTTTTTAAAAAATGTTTATCTATTCTTGAGAGAGACAGAGACAGAGTGTGAGTTGGGGAGGGTCAGAGAGAGAGGGAGGCACAGAATCTGAAGCAGGCTCAGGGTTCTGAGCTGTCAGCACAGAGCCTGACGCGGGGCTCGAACTCACAAACTGTGAGATCATGACCCGAGTTGAAGTCGGACGCTTAACCAACTGAGCCACCCAGGTGCCCCCTGATTTTCCACTTTTGACCATGCCTCCTTAAAAACAATTTTTTTTTAATTGAAGAATTGACATACAATCTTATATTAGTTTTAGGGGTAGAGGAGGGTGACTTGATATTTATAAACATGAAATGGTCACAATAAGTCTAGTTACCATCTGTCACCATACTATATTGTCAAATTTTTAAAAAATTTAATGAATTCCTGATCTGGTAGCCAACCTCTTAATTAATTTTCCTTAGGATTCAGTCTTCAACCTTTCTCTTTTAAAATTTTACCCTCTCCCTGCAGGTAAAATTTTACTCCTTTCTCCCACTATTACAATCACTACTTCACTTTCAACCACTATCTATGGATAAATAACTAACTGGAGCACACATATGTGTATTTGTATAAACACAAGTCTGGGGAAAATATACTAAAGAAAAATTGGTTATATTTAGGATGATTTTCTACTATCCTCATTCTTTTCTTCCAAAATCCTTCATTATGGTTAAAGCACATACTACTTTCTAACTACTTCTTAATTGCCTTTGTTTTTGTCTATTTATTCTTCCTAGAATAGCTACTAAAGTTCATTTGGTAATTACTATGTGCGAGGCACTGTGCTAAGTGTTTTATATATCCATGTTATTTAAGCCTCTCAACAATTCCAGTTGTTATTTTATTGCTGTGTATTGTTATTGTATTGTAAATGTATTATTATCCTTATTTTAAAGGTGAGGAAATTAAAGCTCAGAGTAGCTTAAATAATCTACCCAAGGACACAGGGCTAGTGGCCTGTTCTTCTGCAATCTCCACCTGACTACTCTCCATAATTCCTACTGATCTTTCACTACCCATTTTATGTGTGATCTATTTCAGAACCTGCTCTAATAACAAATTCATCCCACACAATTTGGGTTAAATAACTATCCTTCCCTAGTTACCCAATGTATTTTACAAATTGCTCCATTAAATGTGTGTTAAATGAAGAAACAAACCCTTTATTCACAATAGTCCATAAAGATTTGGTTACACAGAAAGAATATTATATGACATATTTCTCATTAAAATAAACTAGAATTTTTCATGAAAGTAGTCTCTCAGAAACCCTAACCATAAGTTGATTTCTCTGAGCCCAAACATGATGCTACTGAAAAAGCAGTGTTTGGTCTGTTAAGACTGGAGATCAACCACTAGCTTTACTATAATTTACTAAAGTAATGAAACCCTGTGAAGCCTCATGGAGACAAAGAGCAAATGCCATTATATGTATCTTTCAAAGTCAATATGCAAAGGCAAGAGCACTATCTACATGTACTATATCCTGATTTACCCCATTAAAATCAAATGGCATAGAGCAAAGGACACTGACATCAAAAATAATAAATGTGTTTAATAAATGTGTTGGTGGGAATATAAATATATGGTATAGCCACTGTGGAAAATAGTAGGGAGGTTCCTCAAAAAATTAAAAACAGAAATATATGGTCCAGTAATTCCACTACTGGGTATTTCAAATGAAAACACTAATTTGAAAAGATATATGTATCCCTATGTTTACTGCATTTTTTATAATAGTCAAGACATGGAAGCAACCTAAGTGTCCAATGGCAGATGAACGGATAAAGATGTGGTATGTGTATGTATGTATGTGTACACACAGGAATAATATGCAGCAATAAAAAGGGATAAGGTCTTGTCATTTGCAACCACATGGATGGACCTAGATGATATTATGCTAAGTGAAATAAGTCAGAGAAAGACAAGTATGATTTATGATATTTTTGATTTACTCATGTAGAACGTAAAAAAAACAAATGAATAAACAAACTAAAAGCAGAATCAGACCTATAAATACAGAGAACTGATGGTTGCAAGAGGGAAGGGGGATGGGCAAAAGGGGTGAAGAGGAGTGGAAGATATAGGCTTCTAGCTATGGAATACATCATCGGAATAAAAGGTACAGTGCAGGGGATATAATTAATGATATTGTAACAGCGTTGTATGGTGACAGATGGTAGTTGTATTTGTGGTGAGCCATAGCATATGGTATAGAGATGCCAAATCACTATGCTGTACACCTGAAACTAATTAACATTGTGTCTGAAATATACCCAAATAAAAAAAATTAAAACAGAGGTGCCTGGGTGGCTCAGTTGGTTAAGTGCCTGACTCTTGATCTCAGCTCAGATCTTGACTCAGCATCATGGATTTAAGCCCTGCACTGGGCTCTGCATTGGGTGAAAAGCCAATTAAAAAATAAATAAGTAAAAACAAAAAAATTACTTCCATCCTTTGGAAAAATAAAATAAATCTAGGGTTTTTGTCATTACCCAGCTGTGAACAAACCACTTACTCTCTGAAAACCTTACTTTTCTAAGCTCCAACTCTTAATTTCAGTTCAGGTCATGATCTTGTGGTTGGTGAGTTCGAGCCCCATGTCAAGCTCTCTGCTGTCAGTGCAGAGCCCACTTTGGATCCTCTGTCCTCCTCTCTCTTTGCACCTACCCCACTCACTCACTCTCTCAAAAATAAACAAACATTAAAAAAAAAAGAGAAAAAGGTAGACAGACATTGCTGTTATAAGCTGAGTTGTGTACCCCCAAATTAAATGTTGGGAGTCTAATCTACAGTACCTGATAATGTGAGTATATTTGAAAGTAGGGTCTTAACACAGATAATTAAGGTAAAATGAGGTGAAATGTGTGAGCCATTATTCAACATAATTATTGTTCTTATAGGAAGGGAAGATTAGGACACAGATAAAGTAAGACCCTATAAGGAGACAGTGAGAGGAGGCCATCTGCTAGTCAAGAAGAGAGGCTTCAGAAGAAATCAAACTTGATGGCACCTTGATCTTTGACTTGTGGCCTCCAGAACTGTGAGAAAATTAATTTCAGTTGTTAAAGTCACTCAGTCTGTGGTATTTTGTTATGGCAGCCCTAGAAAACCAATACAACTGGCATTTCAATACAACCAAAGCAGTAATTCACATACAGTGAAATAACTAATAGCTAGAATCAGGTCTCCTAATCCAAAGCTATTTAAAGAGAAAACCAATAAAGGTTGCCTGGGTGGCTCAGTTGGTTAAGCATCCGATTCTGGCTCAGGTCATGATCTCTTGGTTCGTGAGTTGGAGCCCCACGCTGGGCTCTGTGCTGACAGCTCGGAGCCTGGGGCTCCGCTTCAGATTCTGTGTCTCCCTCTTTCTCTCAAAAATAAACATTGAGAGAGAGAGAGAGAGAGAGAGAGAGAGAGAGAACACCAATAAAAACAAAAGAAAACAGAGAGAGAGAACCAGTAAGTACTATACAGTGACCCAACATGAAAAGGAAGATATACAGCTTGTTTACAGGAAAAATGATTAGTGCAAGGGAAAAGTATTCACAGAAGTTTACAACAGAAATCATCAGAAACAACTGAAATGCATGAAATTATGGAAAACACTTAATAAAAAACAATAGCTGTTAATGTCTATCGTGCCAGGCTTCTTAGTTTTTATGTTATCTCTAATTCTGACAATCATATGACAAGGAGATGTTATACACATATTAAAGTTAAAAATAAAATTAAGAATTCAGATAGATTACCAGGCTTCTTCAAAGACACAAACTGGTATGTAGCAGACACATGTTGTGACACCAGATTAGTCTAATGGCAACTTGTTCTCTTTTCAAAATACTATTCTGTTTTCACATATCTCAAATGAACAATGATACAATACATACTACAGGAATGTTGTGTGGCCATCAAAATGGCTAAGAAAACTCAAAGATTGACTGACAGCCTATAGATTTAAAAATTTCTTCTTTTTCCATATTTTGCGTTCTAGGGTTTTCTTTGATGAGCACAGATAGGCTAAAAATAAAACACAAGAACTCTAAAAAAATTAAAATCATTGAAGTAAGTCAAAGACTAGAAAATGAGTAAGCCCTTCTTTCAACTTGAATGATATATTAAAAAGGTATACAGGGAGGGGCGCCTGGGTGGCGCAGTCGGTTAAGCGTCCGACTTCAGCCAGGTCACGATCTCGCGGTCCGTGAGTTCGAGCCCCGCGTCGGGCTCTGGGCTGATGGCTCAGAGCCTGGAGCCTGTTTCCGATTCTGTGTCTCCCTCTCTCTCTGCCCCTCGCCCGTTCATGCTCTGTCTCTCTCTGTCCCAAAAATAAATAAACGTTGAAAAAAAAAAAAAATTAAAAAAAAAAAAAAAAAAGGTATACAGGGAGACTTTTTAGGTTTTCTTAGGGACCCAGAATTTAAACTTACCACACTGTGGTTTCAGACCATATTCTATTTTTGAGTGAATAGATTTCCTGACTTACCTTATGGCTTCTGAATCAATGTGCACAGGTGCAATTCTTTCCAACAGAAATTTGACCATCTCTAGAAAAGGGTTTGTTGGCTGCTTAGGATTTGCAAGTTTTCGAGCTATTTCTCTCTACAGAAGGGAAAGATTTTACCGTAAGTATGATTCACATTCATATTTTTCAAAATAAAAGTGACTATAGGTATCAAAAACATTTAAAGATTCAAAACCAGCAGAATCTGCTTTAGACTTGACTAAATTTCTGCTTTAGACCCTGACTAGAATTATATACTCATTAGGTTATCACTGCAAAATCTGTACTGTGGAGGACAGAAAGGGGATAACATTGTGTGATTTATGCCTTTTATCCTATATTTCTCCCATGAAATTATTGCTTAGTAAACAATCTTTTTTAGTGCTCTTTCAAAAAGTTAACAATTAATACTTTCATGGGTATCTTTTATTAGTTTATTTCATAATTTGACAGAATATTATGCTTTCAGTTAATGATTTGTCTTTTTAAAGAGGGGGAGATTCATAAGTATGTAATTATTTATAAAATTTTTAGTTCTGGAAAAACATAGGTGATTCCAAAGATGGTGGCATTACATCAAATAGTTCCTACAAAGAAAACATGTTATTGCTGGAATTTCTAAAGAATATATTGGGACTTTATTAGAGAGCCTGATTCTCCCAAAGACAAGGTTAAATTCATAAAGTGCTGGGCACTGGGGGAAGTTTAATCACAAATTTAATCAACACAATTTAATCAACATTTAATGAATATTTCTGCTGAATAAATATAAATTTTGGGTGAGAAGATAATGCATATTAAAAGTACATCCCAAACTATAAAGCAGTAACAAATAATAGTCACTTTATATGTTTTTTCACAAAAAACATAAAAAAATATATATTCAGGGGACAAGGGAAAAATGAAACAATTTCTACTATAATTTCAGTGATATCTTGACACAAGTTAATTTTATAAAGACAATATTAAATTGGATACCATCCATGTTTCTCATTAGAGTGTAAGTCTCGGGAAAACTTATTAGTCATTAAGAGATGCTTGATTTATTTTGCAAACTATAATTAACTTAGCAAAACTTTAGCATTTGAGAAAATAAAAATACTTTAGTCAGTGTTCAGTCCTTACATACTTTGCTCTAACCCACAGGTATATATTTTAAATCTGAATTTAAGTACAGTTACTATCTTTTGAAATCAAATTTGTTTTGTGCAGGTCTCCCCAAAAGGGGACTTTTTTTTTTTTTATCCCTAGCATAAAATTTAATTGCTTTAACCTAAAATAAAGTCAGTGATCATTTAATAACAAATAAGCCTACTGGAAAATTGTTAGGCAAACTATACTAGTCAGTACCCTGGAACAGGTTACTAAAAAAGAAAAAAAAAAACTAGGCATTAAGAGAGACAGTTATGGTACTAGAGACAAGCATAGAAAAAATAAAGGAAATGCTAAAGGGAAAAAGAATAATTCACAATTATATAAACCTAGTAATAATACCATATAAAATACACCTATGTACATAACAACACTAGATATAATTAACTTTTAAAACCTAATGTTTTTATATTCCAATATAACCTTACATTTAAGTAATCTTTCATAATAATTATTGTATGTGATAATCTTAAGTGATACTGGGAATACGCAGCAAGCCAAATTAGTTTGCGGCAACAAAAACCAACTAGTTTGTAGCTTTGTTTTCTTTATGCAATTAAGAAAAAAAAAAACCACCCACACATACTTCCAATGCACAAACAGAAACATCTAAGACCAACAAGAAGTTTCATAACTGACAAAGCTTCAAACAGAAGTAATCATATGCAATCATTTTAGGAAATGACAGCAGAATGAATAAAGAAAATGAATTCTTTCTGCATCTCTGACAATGTTTCCAAAATTTCTCATCAACTATGCTAACACTGCAGGTTGATACTATTACTGATACATATTTACTAGTCACAGAAATTGTTTAGTATATTAAATATGCACTTTTAAAGAATGTCAAACAAATAAATAGTCCCTATTCTCAACAAGCTTATAATTTTTTAATCCTGTTATTATGACATAAAGAGCTTAAAAATTCTGCATTTACATATCTCCTTTGTTCTTCATACTTTTCCTTTCTCATTTTGACAATAAAAATATAAATGTTTGTTAAAAAAATTGTACTCTTTCACATACACAGTATCTCCTCTCATATACTTTGCTGTTTTCCTAATCAAAATGTCTCCTAGATTTAACATTATCAATTTTCACAGCTGGAATCAGTAAACTAGATAAAGCATAATTTCTCACAAGAAGCAGCTTCTAAAGGTTTAACTTTCATGATTCAGTGACCTGTTCTTTTCAGTTCCTAAACGTAATTCCAATGTGTGTGTATGGAGGGCAGGGCGGACTTCCCAATCAACAAGCAATTCTCCAAACACCAGCAGGGTGTCCTACAATTCAACTCAATTCCGACACTGTCTATCCAAGATAGGATTGGTTCCCACAGGTTAAGGGTTCAGTCTTAAGGGACTGCCTCCCACCCCTGCCCCTGCCCCTGCCCCTGCCCAGGTGTAAGCCCAGGTAGTTACCTATACTTCCGACCAACTAGCTGTAAATCTAGGTTCCCATAACCCCCTCCTTCCTTGGGTCTGATTAACTTGCTAGAGTAGTTCGTGTAACTCAGAGCAATATTTTACTTACCAGATTACTATAAAAGGATATATAACTAAGGAATAGTCAGATGAAAGAGATGCATAGGGCAAAGTATGTGGAAAGGACAGGGAGCTTCCATTCCTTCTGTGAGTCTGTCACTCTCCCCAAATCTCTACATGTCCACCAACCCGGAAGCTCTCTGAACTTTGTCTTTTTTAGTTTTTATGGAGGATTCAATACATAGGTTGATTGATCAAATCATTGGCCATTGGTGACTGACCTCAGTTTCCAACCCTCTTATCATGTAATTGGCTCCAGAGGCAACCAGTCCCCATCCTTAGGCCTAGTTGCTAAAGACACCACATTAACATAACAAAAGACACCTACGTGGCTTTCTGCACTTCAGTAACTTAAAGGGTTTTTACTTCTGTACCAGAAATGGGGGACAAAGACCAAATATATATTTCTTACTATAAATCACATCACCCCTGTATATCATTCTAACTATAGAAAGATTAAATTAAAAGAAAACAGGAAACATTTGATGATTGTTACTAAATAGCATGCATTAGCATCTCTCTCCCTTTCCATTCTTTCCTTTACCTCCTCCAGGAACTATACCAACCAGTCTTGAATTCCAGACTTCTAAACACAACTGCTGAGAGGCCACACATCGTTATCTTTTTCTATCCCTCCAATATCTTCTCCGATATCCAGTTACTGAGGCTAGAAATACAGCCAGTCATTCTTGATGTAGTGGTCTAATCCCTACTTACATAATTGTTAAGATTCAATTCAGGAACCACTTATTCTCGAATAAGCTATTCCAATTTCCACCCTGGCCTGGAATGGGGGCTGTTCCTTTGTGTTACAAAGGACATGATTCTTTCAGAATACTTACCACGCTATATTCTCTATTGAAATATTTGCCTGCCTCTGTCACCTAAACTACAACCTCAGTGAGAGACTAGGTATAATACAATTTACTAAATTATGCAGTGCATTATAATGGTGTAGGCTTGATCAAGGGACAACCCAAAATTTGGCCTTCAGAAGATACAATGCATATTCAAATAACCCTGTAGAAGGGTTTTTTAAGGTGTGATCTGTGAAGTACTCTAGCAGAATCACTTTGAGACCGTTAAAAAGATGGAGATTTGTGATCCCTTTCCACTTATTTTAAGAATTGCCAGTGTTTGTCATGTATATGTAGTACCACAAAAATTACCATTTATTTACATCTTATGGGGTAGGGCAAGGGTCTTATTTGAAGTCATACACAAAATTTCATTTCATCTTACTCTAACAATCTCATGAGGTTGATAATATTTATAGATGAAGAAAAGGAGGCTCAGAAATACTGAGTAACTCACTAACAGTCACAATGGTAGTAAATGGTACAGCTGGAATTTAAACCTAGGACTGTCTCAAATGCTCCATTAATAAGCTTCCTGGAAAATCTTGAAATTTAGGAGCCATGGTCATGCTAGAGCATCAAATAGCAAGCAGAGCTCATGCTATAGCAAATATGTGATCCTTCTCTAGAATAAAGGTGTGGAAACTCAATACCTGAAGTCCAAAGGGAAAGCAAACCTGAACAGCACACACTGCAATACCACTGCTCATCCTCTCTCACTATACCATCGTGTATATATGTATTAAGCCATAGTATGGGTCTATTGTTATTCCTTGCTCAAAGTATTAGATCTCCATTCCTACAAAACTCTTGTTACTGAGTAATGTTCACTTCTTGAGAAGAAGTGATTGTCATTTAGAAAAAAAGGAAGTGGTGACACATACACATTAGTAGGGGATAGAGAGAAATTCTGAGAATGAAAGCTACACAGAATGACAGAAACTAAATTTTGTGTATTTCTTTATTCTTTTCTTCTATTTCAGAATGAAAGCAGCAAGAAAAAAGAATGTGATAATAGAGGATGTATATAACTAATACCAGTAGCCCTTGGGGAGAAGGACAAAAGGATATAGATATTCTGGAAAATGGCAAAAACTAACAGTGGTGTTTTCCTGAGTGTTTAAAGAGTATTATAAATCCTATTTTATACTCAATATACAGATAAGTTAAATAATGTGCTCAGAATACACAATGCTCATGTAAAAGCCAGAAAACAAATTACTGTGAAACCATTCACCAAAGAAAACAAACTAAAAAATGTGAAGAGTCTTCTAGAATAGACTTCTATTAGCTATTCTGTGGACCATTACCTAAAGTACCTTCAGAATAATTTCCCCTCCAAAAAAGTATCATCACCTTGCTCTTTCCAGTGCAACTGCAGTCCTCATCTCTACTTTCCTGGTTGCTAAAATCAGGAGCACTGATTGGCTACACTGCATGGCTGTGGTATTCATCCTGAGATATTTTGGTTACAAACATCTGTTTTGCATATACTTTTTGGATTTAGAAACTTTTAAATATTTATGGTCTGACAAATAGTAGGAATTCATGTTATTGCCATTTTTTCAAACTCAAGCTTAATTTCTGTTTCTCTCAGACCAAAAACACCACCTGATTGTTCTTTCTCAAGGTGCACATTTGTTGAGCAGTACTCAGTTTGAACTGGCTCTTCCGGTAAACAATGGAATGTATAGAAAGAACACAATTGTGGACTTATGATAGATCTAGACTCTATCTGAAGCTCAGCCACTATCACCAGATGTAAAATACTGGATAAGAAACCTTAAAATTCAATGTCTTTATTTGTAAAATCAAATGCTTAAACCAACTATTTCTAAGGTCTTTTCAAGCTATTTCATTCTATGATCCAATTATATTAGTTGATGCCCTGCAGGACACAGCACTCTGGAGCTAGAATTCTAAATCTCAAAGAAGTAAATGAAACCTTTAAATGTTTTTGGCAAACCACTCATTCAGAAGTGCAAAGGTTGAGGGAGTCTGGGTGGTTGGTATATCCATATTCCCAGACCCAAAAGAAGAGTCCACTGTTCTCTTCCCTAACTTGGCTTCCCCTCATCTTTTCCTAATTCCTGGTCTTTTTAGATCCACTTAGTGACCCAGTATCCCTAGAATGAATAAAAAACACCTATACCATGCTTTCATACCATTTCTTATACACATGTATCATAGTCCTCATCCCTTTATTACATAATTATCCCACTCTAATTCTTTCTAGAACAAAGTTAGACATAAGTATCTGAAATATTTTTTTTCTCTTACTCATCTCTGTAAGCCTAGTCCCAAACATAGCAGTTGTAATATATGCGCTATACCACAGAAATACAATGTATTTAAATCCTAAAGGGCCATGTATTAGGACACACTCTCTCTCTCTCTCTCTCTCTCTCTCTCTCTCTCTCTCACACACACACACACACACACACACACACACACACACACACACACACACAATCTTCTAACGATCCTGTGAGGTTTTCACACATAGATGAGAAAAATGAGGCTACAAAATATTGAACTTACTAAAGGTCACACTGGTAGTAAATGGTATAGGTGAAATTCAAACACAAAACTCATAAAATGCTGAATAAAAAAATGGATGAAGTTCTTTCCTGATATTTTCAATGAATACTGGTTTTCTATAAAATAAAGAATCCAGGAATAGAATGAAGACAAAAGCCTAAATGGGAAATTACCTTCTCTATAAATGCATATATGACAATGTAACTGTTGCTAATTTATTGACAAGGGTTATCTCCATCCTAATACAGAAGTGAAGAAAATGTATGCACACACAAGGATTTAGAAAGTTCTATTTACATTAACAAATGTCTACTAAATGCAAAGCATACTGTCTTGCTCAATTCCTAGGACCAATCTCCCTAGCTTAGTTCTCTAGTGTTTTCCCTGGAATTTGGCTGAACACTGGTGAGACAACTAAGCTGATCACAGATATACTCCTGAGTAATTTAGAGCTCACATTATAGTTAAATTAACACAAATAATTTATGTAAGGCAGGTTTTAATGAAATATAAATTTCAATAAGCAAAGCTAAAAGAACAAATGTACAAGTATAATTTACTAACCACACAAACATCTGCCTGTTTGCAAGAACAGGTTGGACTGATTAATAACTCCAGCTGAGACCGCAATTTCTCATCATCACCGAGAACCTGATTAAATTTCTTCACAAAATCTTGTGCTTTCCCAGGGTCAGGCAAATTCTCTATAAAAATGAAAGAGAATCATTATTATAAAAGAAAAACTACTCTGCTAAACTAAGAGCAAGCTCTCTTAAAAATTATGCTGAATTATTTTCTCTTACTTGGTATTAAATTGTCCCATTGGGTAAGTTATTTGCCTGTTTTGATGTTTATTATGTTATATATGGAATGAATAAGCAAACTCACTTGCTATGGTCATCAGTTTTCCAAACATGGCAGAACAGTTAGCCTCTGACTGAAATTTAAAACAAAAAGAAGTCATATGAACAAATTTCTGTAAGAAAATCCAAACTCAGTATTATACATTTTTTAAAATTAAAAAAAAAAAAAAATCATCACAAACCAGCCACCAGAAAATCTATACCAGAAGTTGGTAACAAAAAATTGTGGAGTAGCAACAACTATTAAGTCAGGACAAACAGAAGGAAAGGTGATGTCAGAAGGAAGGTATTTAAAAATTAAAAAAGGAATATACAATTTCCATAGAGAAAACATCTTGCCAGAAGATTGAACTGAAGATAACTGAAACAATTATCATACCAAAATTACTGTGAAACCATACATCAAAGAAAATTAACTAAAAATGTGAATAGGAAAAAAAAATTCTTCCTGAATAGTTCTATTATCTATTTTATGACCTATTACTAAAATAACCTCAAAACAAACAAACAAACAAACAAACAAAAAAAACAACTCAGAAAATCACCTCCTTTCCAAAAAGTACTTCTGGTGCTCGCTTCAGCAGCACATACACAAAAAGTACTTCCGTATTGTCCAACACAATAAAGTATGAAATTTGAGTAATTTGGATCAGAAATTGGTAAACTATGGTCCTACAGACCATCTGTTTTTATTAAAGGTTTGCTGAAACACACACTGTTTATTTACATACTGTCTATGACTGCTTTTGCAATTTTATAAAGGCAGAGTTGAGAAGTTCACCAAGACTTTATGGCTGGCAAAGCCTAAATTTTTACAACCTTGTCAGTTACAAAAAAAGTTTGCCAACCCTTGCTTTAGCATCAATAGATCTTTGAAGGGTCTCTGTCTATGATTCCCTAGTTAAGAACACCTATTCTAGCAACACATTGAGAAATATATTAAGAAATTATTCAAGTTTCTTTCCCCCATCTTCCAGAAAACATTGGGCAGAATTTTTTTGTTAATTTGACTTTGGCATATGTATAGGATTGGCACTGGATTTGATACTGACTCTATATTGAAGGACCAAAAAATCATGGAGTAAAAAAAAAAACCATGACTTTATATAGAATTTTATCTTGAGACTTAATTCTAATTATTTGAAAATTGATGAACTATGTATAAATACTTAGTATCTAAAGTGATAAACTAGACATCACCATTTCTTTGCTCATGCTAGAAAATAAAATTTTGTTATATTCATTTACAGTGAAAATTTTGTTTAGAAAACTACAGAAATTATGTGTAACTGACATTTGGAAAATACTCAAAATACTTTTTGCTTGCTTCATTATATGTAACTAGAGAAAAACTGAATAATGACCATAACAAACTATTAATTTAAACAAATCATGAACCTACTGTAGGTTGCTTGTGCAAATCCAATAGTTCTCGTACATGACTTCTGAGCATGTTCTGACACTTCCACATTTCATTGAGAGCTCTGTTAATAAAGTTATAAGCATGAAAAAGAGATAACGTAATATAACAATTCTGGTAACTACTCAATCATCCTACTTTTCTTGTTGCCTTGTATAAATACACCATGCTTGTATATCTACCTAAAATTTTAAGCACCAGCACTGACATTTATTTATTAGGATTAAGACAGGTTAGTTTAAAATTTTTTTTAAACATTTATTTATTTTAGAGAGAGACAGAGACAGAGTAGAGGATGGGCAGAGAGAGAGGGAAGAGAGAATCCTAAGCAGGCTCTGCTCTCTGTGCTCCACTCTGTGAATGCAGAGCCTAATGTGGGGCTCAAACCTACAACCCGGGAGACCATGACTCGAGCCAAAATCAAGACTGATGGCTCATGACTGAGCTACCCAGGCGCCCCAAGACAGGTTAGTTTAAAATGGTAAATGTAAACCTTCTTATGAGAGAAAATATTTGAGAAGTTTAGGAGGATGAAAAAAATCTTTCCAGGTAAATGAAGGGACTGAAAGACATTCTAAGCAGAGATAGCTAGAATGTTCTGGCATAAAAGATAAAATGTCATCAAAATGCCTGCAACAAAGGAAACTTAAAAAAAATTTACAGATTTGGAACACAGACTATGAATGGAGTAGTATCAGGAAGCTGGAACATACTGTAGAAAAGGATCAGATTGTAAAGGCTTTTCATGGCAAGCTAAGACATATGTATGAAAGGCTGGAAAAATGAACTTCTTAGAAATGATGTAGATTCAAGGAACCAAATTTAACTTGAGTGTGTTTACTCTAGACTACTCTATGAAAGCAGATTTTCTTCTCTCACAAACACAGTCCATAATTCCAAGTGTCTAGAGGACCTCTGAGATATTAGTCTATCTTGGAGTATTGTTTGCCAATATTCTGAAATATAAACAGAGACTAAACCTTAGGCCAGGGATTTACTATCTACAGTGAGCATTAGGAATCACTCACAAATTAAAAACAAATGATGGCTAATGCCTCCTTACACGATGCACTAAGGATACTACGTTACTTCTGTAGAATTTCTGCTGAAAATGTATAAACTTAATCTAATAATGAGGAAACACTAGATGAACCCAAATTGAGGGAATATTCTACAAAATAACTGGACTGGACTATGCAATACTCTTCCCTAGTCATCAAAGTCCTAAAAGACAAAGAAAGAGAGAGCAATGACTTCAAGTTAAGAGACCAGACACATGACAACCAAATGCAATCTGTAATACTAGAAAGGGGGGAGAAAAAAAAAACCCATAAAGCACATTAATGAGACAACTGAGGAAATTTAAATACATATTAGATTAGACAATAATATTGTATCAATGCTAAATCTCTTGATTTGTCAAGAATACTCTGGTTATATCCTATTCTTAGGGAATATACATTGAAATATTTAGGGGTAACGGGATCTAATGTCTGCAAATTACTCTCAGATGGTTCAGAAGAAAATATTTATGTAGAGATAAAGAAAAAGTATATGCAAATTGCAAATGATAAAGCAAATGATGAATCTGGGTATAAGGACATCATAATGCTCTGTACTATTCCTGCAGTCTTTCTGTAAATTTGAAATTATATGAAAGTTAAAAGATAAATATACAAAATATACACATATTGTAATAAACACACACACACACACACACACACACACACACACATGCTGAGGTTCTTTTCAGAAGAACCAGGTATCTCAACAACAGGACTTATTTACTTTTTAAAAAGCTTTATTACAGTGGAGTGACCACATATCCCAGTGGCCTAGGACAGTTAAAGTTTATATCAACTGTCTGATCAAAAATATTAATAGTGCCTTTCAGTCTCAAAAATATCCCAGTTCAGACTACCAATCATATGGTCATTCTACATAGAGGTGATCTGGATATACTCTCTTGCTAAAGAAGTAGTACTTAGTTCTTAGACATAGTATTGTAAAGCTCCAATAGTGTAATTCAGACTCCAGTCAACAGGCAGACAAAAGTAATTTTGACATGGGGATTTCTTTGAATCCCTGAAACAATATATATATTACGGACTCAGGTGCCAAAATACTATCTATGTACATAGGAATATTTTTGCTTTTAAATTTACCTGAACTTGTGAAATTTTTCTCTACAAATATTTACCTGAGGTTCCTGATTCAACTAGAAGAAGCAACAACCCCATCAACAACAATTAGATAAGGTGAAGTAATTTTATAAAATCTTTACTCCAAACATTCATTTAAAAAGTAACTTACTTGACAGCATTTGGATCCAAACTAGCATATAAATAATATAAGCATTTCATTCTCTCTTCTGTTTCCAGGTTGTGGGGGACAAGATACTGAGCAAAGATTTTCTCTACCAACAGTCTATGAGACAAAAAATACCCACCAATAATATAATTATTCTATTTTTTAGAAGCAACAGGCATTTTATATTTTAACCATCTTATGCAAAAATATCAGACCTATACGTGCAAATGGTGATGCCTATATGTGCAAATACAATGGAAAATATTATTATGTGACTGGTTCCTTTTCTTGGAGTACAGTTGTGGGTTGGGTTTTTTTTTTTTTTTTTTTTTTTTTTTTTTTTTTTTTTTTTTTTGAGCAATCTCTATGCCCAACATAGGGCTCAACCCATGAGATCAAGTCACATGCTGTACCAACTGAGCCAGGCAGGTACCGTGGACTAGTTATTTTTAAACTTAGAGCTAGTTGCGATTTGTGACTTTACTTTTTGTCAGTGTGGAACATTTGTTCTAAAAGGGTCATACATTACTCCTAAACACAAGGTGCTAGGCTGTTCCACCTATTCTTCTTCATCAGTCCTGATCTATAATAGTAAATTACTTAACACTACATATAAAGCTAACAATCAAGAACAGCTAATCGTCAAAAACAAAAACATTAACTTCCTCTAGTTATAGTTCAACTCTTTCCCTGTGGTGTCATTACATAAAATCAGAAGGATCTTCCTTCATATTGCTTCCTGAAAAGTTAGCTTTTCCTGGGCACATCTGATCTCTCTTCTCTCCACAGTCTAAATTCCTTACCAATACTGCAATAACTTTCTTGCTAAGCTTATATTTATTATTCAATATCACTGGAATAAGAAAATACAAGAGATCCTCATTTATCAATGAAATGCACAGCCAATGATACCAAAGCAGTCAGTCTAATGCAACAAAACATCCCAAGTATTCTGCAAAAGCCAAAATCATCACTGCAATTCAAAACAGAATTACAAGTAAAACTTGAAAAATGAAAACAACCTAAGTCCTTATCACTAGAAAAAAAATTTGTAACTAAGTTGCCATATCGTGATCTTTTCCCAATATATACAAATATAGAATGTTATACACACCTGAAACTAGTATGCTATGTATCAATTATACCTCAATAAAAAAAAACACCACAGTACTACCTCTATTAATATTTACAGTGTTTCAAAAAAGGAAGCATAACAACTAGCAGTTACTGAATAGTGCTGTATTGCCAGGCATTGGGCTAGGGAGCTCTATGTTCATTTTTTATTTAATCTACATTACAATCTTGTAAGGAAAGCTTTATTATTACTCCTTTTTTTTAGATAAAACCAAGATATACAGAAGATGGTTGTGCAAAGACACATGTCTAATAAGGGGCAAAATGAACATCTGGCCTCTGGTCTGACTCTGAAGCCCGTGTCTATTTCATTAATTATGCTACTTGACAATTATTGCTAGTCTTATTTAAATATAGTATGTATAAATACAATAAAGTGATTTCTAAATTTAGAAATAATTATAAAAGAGAAGTAAATTATGTTAAAAAAATTAAAAGCATTTTTATATTCAACCATTCTACCAACATATTAGACTCACTTGTCATCGATGCTATTCTGATAATAAATATGCAAAAGCTTGTCCTTTATCCAGCTGACTTTCTCTGCAGCTTCTTTTCCTGCTTCACCATGAAGACAGTATTTCTTATAAAGCTGAGCAAGACCCATCATAGCTTCTTTTCTTACTCGCCACTAAAAAGTATAGTTTATTGAATGAGTGAGATACCAAACTTTAGAATGCTAATCTGTAAAAAATTGCCATTTCTTCAACTAGGTTGTACAATCAGACTTACATGTATATAAACTAGCACAATATTTATTTTCCTAAGCAACAAATTGCTTTACCAACACTGAACAGGTTCTTATTTATAAATCTGACTACTTTAAAAATTGTCTAATGCAAATACTACTACATCAACCTACCAATTTTATTTCCCTCACAGCCAAGCCATCAGTAGTAAATCTTACAGAAGACTTCATTAGATTCTGTCTTAAAAAATGTGCCCAAGTTTTAGAAGTGATTAAAAGGTAAAAGAGAAAGTGTGTGATTTACTCTGCAACCAAAAGCCCTATCATCTGGAATGCTGTATCCTAATTAAATTTCTTTTGTTAGTAACTCAGAATAAGAAGAGCAAAATTTAATATCAAGATCTTAGAATTACAAAGTTGGAAAGTACCTTAGCGATCATCTTAAGTGAACTTCCTTACTTTATAGATTAAATGGGCAAATGATTTACCTAGCCACATACTACTAGTTACTGGAAGACTCTTTGGGACTTCTAGAGACTGGAACAGTTTACTAGGAGGAAAGAAAGGTAGTAGGAGGAAGGTAGATAAAAAAGGAGACTATAAAAACCTACAGTTAGAACCATGATAGTGAGATGTAGTAAAACAAAACAAAACAAAACAAAACAAAACCAGAAAAGATATTTATCCCAACAAGTCAGAACATATTATCTTTGGTTTATTTACATTAATATTTCTTTATAATTTTTTGTACAATTTCCTCATTTTTAGGCTATTTAGTAGATGAATGAAACTCTGTCCCCATACAACAAGTAATGGATGTCGTGTGACACTTCTCACATGAAACCAAAGAATGTAAGCAGTGAAATCTAAAGATTAAGTCCTGTCCTCACATTTTATAGAGGAGAAAACAAATTTCAGAAAGGCTATACCCAGGGCCTTCTAATTTATTACACCAAAATCCAGGTCCTAAAATGTCTACTAGATGCTATATGACCATACCATGCACCCTCAGGAAGATTAATTTATTTAACTCCTTCGGAAAGTATAAACATTTACAGAAGCTGGAGCGAAATGTTACTAAAAGGAGGAAATAACACAAATGGTAATACCTTAAATCAAGTGTGTGTATGGGGGTGGGGAGAGAGTTACCAGCTAATCACTAGGTAGGGTATCATTTCATTTAAATTAAAGCCAAGAGGAAAAACTTGTTCAAAGTTAGAATTACTGATACAGTTGAATATGTTCAACAGTGCCCACTTTACATATTTGCCTCCTCTATTTTAAAAGAAAGAATAAATACCTCTTGCTATATTTCATATCCAAGAAATGTAGTTTTACTCTGAAATTATTACTAAATGACACTGGTTTCAGGAGGACAGTGTGTTTTAAACTATGCATCAAATAAAATAGCACACTGCAAAGGCAACCTCTGTTAAAGATGTTAGTAAGAAGCATGTCTAATCAGCCTGCCTTGCATGTCTGTCTCTTGCTTATAGTTGACACTATTCCTTAGGAACCACTTTTGTTGTTCTTAGTACTACTCTTATCAACCCATGTTTTTAACTGTAACCAGAGAGAGGAAATCACCCAAAAAAGTAACTAAAGAACTATCATTTCTGCCCTTAGCTTAGCAAAGCAATACAGAAATATCATTTTCATATAAAGTAACATATTCTTTTAATTCAATGAGTGATAGACCCAGCTAAGTTTATATAACATGTCAATTTTGAAAATGCTAACTATAAGAAAAAAAAAAACATAGGTGATCACTATTCTTTTGAAACTCATCATATAAGTGAAAAGGTAAAATAAAACTTTAATTGAGCTGCTCTTTTTTATAAAGGTAGGCTAGAAGACAAACCCATGCCTAATATCTGAAAAGCTATAGAACCCAATGTATTCATTTGTAAAGGTAATTAAAAGATACACAGAAAACATAAAAATTTTTAGATTTTTACTTAGTACTGTATTGATTTGAACTTCACACATAAAAGTTTTAGGTATACTAGGAATAATTCCTATTGTGTTTAACAAACACTTTAAATATAGCAAATTACAAAAGAATAAAATTCCTCAGATTTTACCCGTTTATCCAGTGTTCTTTCCCTTACAAAGCCAAGTAGCTGATCATTCACTAAGGCAAGGTCTCTTTTGGCAGCTGTTATTATAGTAACAATGACATCATGACGAATTGCTTCTTCTGGATCATGTGATCTAACTTTCAAATATTCTGTAATATAAGAAAAAAACTAAAGCTAAATGTTAGCTATGATATTTGTCATGTTCAGAATGACAGAAAAAACCAATGCTTTATGTTTTTATCCATACCAAAACAATGTTTGTAAAATGTGGCATGAATTAAAATAATTTTATTTTTGAGGAGGCAATACCCTACATAATCACAAAATAAACTAGACCACACTAGGTAGCTATTACTGCAAAGTCACATCTTAATAAAGAATGTATTTTACCTCAACTACTCTGGAAAAGTCAAATCACAAAGCAATATCTGATTTATATAGTTCAAAACTTAAGTTACAATACTTCTTTTTTGGTAAATACCATTTTGATAAAAGCATTTATTTACTAACACCAAATAAGTGAATTCAAATGCTCTAAGTTCAAGTGAAGAATGAGAAATTCTAGTCTACTCCAGAAGACACTTTCCCACTTACTATTAGATATGTTACTATATTTAATTATCACATAGGTATAATGATTTGTGCCAAATCCAATGTCTACTTCCTCAAATTACGATTTCCAAAAAATTCCAAAGGATTACAATATGAAGATTTCAAATATAATTTTATTGTACAAACATAAAATCATTTATAGTCCATGACTGATAGAAATCTGAAATAGTGTCAGAGTTAAAACCTATTCAGAAACTAAATTTAAGATCAAAGCTCCCATCTAAATGTATCTGTGTAATTGCTCCCATATTTGTAATAAATCAGCCAGCTTACCTGTGAGATCCTTTGCTAAATCTGGGTGATTCATTAAACAGTGGCTGGCAAATTTCACACTTTCTAATCTCACAGGAACGTGAATGTCATTAAATCTACATGGAAAAAGTTGCTAAAGATTAGTTGGAAAGGCAACATAATTACTGTCAAATAAGGTATATCCACATTATATAAATGGCTGTTAATTATTATGACAGTTAATGGGTTCTGAAGGTAGAATATAAAGAAATACATATTTTCACAAAAACATTTTTGAAAAGAGAATGTTTACCACACCAAAACAAACAAAAGTATAAACATATCCCTCAACCCACACTATCTAACTCTGTAGTGCCCCAAATTTAACAGCCTAAAATGATACAAAACAAACAAAAAATAAATATTTAAAACCTAAAAAATCTACATGAAAAAAGTTTATAGAGGGAAAATACTAGGAGGAATAAGAGGTAGAAAGCAAGAGAGAGGCAGATCCAGAAGTTCAAAGATGATTTTATAAAATGCTTGTGTCATGCTGCCTTACAACAAAAAAGTTTCAAACCCTCCGATAAACTTGTATTTAAATGCTCTTTTAAAAGGTCTAGTACATTGTAAAATTGCAATAAGTATGAAACACTTCATGTAGATCCACAAATGTAAATAAAGAGTTAAGCTCAGCAATTCTCAAATTTAAAATTATGGGCAATTTATTTATTTATTTATTTATTTATTTATTTATTTATTTATTTATTTATTTTTAAATTTTTTTTTCAACGTTTATTTATTTTTGGGACAGAGAGAGACAGAGCATGAACAGGCGAGAGGCAAAGAGAGAGGGAGACACAGAATCAGAAACAGGCTCCAGGCTCTGAGCCATCAGCCCAGAGCCCGACGACGGACCGCGAGATCGTGACCTGGCTGAAGTCGGACGCTTATCCGACTGCGCCACACAGGCGCCCCTATTATGGGCAATTTAAAAAACATTTATTAATTATAAATAAAGTGATTCTAAAAAGCAAGAAATATTTTTATTTTTGAAGTAATCTCATAAAATAACCAATTAAAGTTATTTAATAAACATTTTACGTCCATGGCCTTTTACTTCCTTAAACAATTTTACTTTAATAAATCGTGCATTTAGGATTTATAATTTTATTTTTAAAATATTTTAAAAATATTTATTCTGAGAGAGAGAGAGAGAGCGAGCACAAGTGGGGGGGGATGGGGTGCAGAGACAGGGAGAGAGAGAATCCCAAGGCTCTGTGCAGGGGTCGATCTCACAAACCATGAGATCACGAGTTCGACGCTTAATTGACTGAGTCACCCAGGTGCCCATAGGATTAATGATCTTCTAACTGCCAGAAAAAAATGAAAACATTACCATTTATGATCAAGTAAATTACAAAGTATCAAAACACTTACTGCTAAATAGCTAAGGTAAATAATATGGTAAAACTGGTAATACTTCTTTGTTTCTATGAATCAGAGACTGATTATTAGATATAGCAGTGAATGTATAATTATGAATATAAGAAACTGCTTACAGCTGATTTAGTTTTTACAAGTGATTGTTTTGCTATAAACACTGAGGCAATCACAAGGACAAAAATCACTCTTCTGTTTACTGACAAGTACAGTTGCTTCATTATCTCTAAGTTCTCATAAAATCAAGTTTCATTATTCAAAATAGCATTTAAAGACCTTCAGAATGGTCTGTTCTAGGAAAGTAACTTAAGACTGTCATTATGTCAGTGTCAGAGATTTCTCAGATTTGTTTGTTATACTGTAATATTTAACTTACGATTATTATAATGAATTTACCTTAACATAATTTCTAAGCCCACCTTCTGAACCAGTTGAATTGATAAATCTAAAATGTTCTCCAGAATACTAACAGTAAAAACTGGCTTTTCATGGTTTGAAGCAAAGCAACATGTACAGGGAATGCAAGAGGGAATCTGATAAATTTCATATTTTTCAACCTTACCATCATGTTGAATAGAATCTAGTAATTCTAGATTCTTGAGAAAGAACATTAAAGGCTATCTGAATTGGGTGCCTGGCTGGCTCAGTTACTTAAGTGTCCAACTCTTGATTTTGGCTCAGGTCATGATTTCATGGTTCATGAGTTCGAGCCCCACATCTGGCTCCTGCGCTGACAGCACAGAGCTGCTTCGAACTCTCTCTCTCTTTCTCAGCCCCTCCCTGTTTGTGCACTCTCACTCTCTAAAAATAAATAAATAAACTTAAAAAAAAAAAAAAAGCTATCTGAATGAAGAGCAATTATTTTCAATTTCAAAGTCATACAATACCACATTAGTTCACAACATACATCATTCAATTAGATAAGCTACAAACCTAAAAGATAAACACTAGTAAATGAATACATTGCTGGACTGAGGAATGGCATGGCCTGGATCATTATGTCTTCAGTCTCATGATTTAAAAATCTTAAGACTGAACATTTTCAGATGTTGCCTAATGACATTATTTTAGCACAGAAAGATTAAAAAATGTTATGTGGTAAATAAAATAATAAGCATTTCTTCATAAAAAATCTGATCTACAATTTGTTCTCCAAGAAAGACAGCAACATAGACACTAAAAAACAAACGTATCAATTGAAGTTTTGAAATGTATGGTTTTAATCAAGCAGACCATACTGACTGGCCTCTGAAACGTAAAAATTAGAATCCATAGAACTATATGTCCTCTTACCGTCCAAGAAAACATTGCCAAAGAGGACGATTCTGTGTTGCCAAATCAGAATCTTTAGAACCAAACAATTTAGCTAAAAGTCGAACAACAGCTAATCGTTCTTCTCCATCATTGCTCTAAGGAAAAAGAGAAAATAAATGAAGTCAAGGTTTATTCATCAGATTATAGAAAACAACATGATATATTCCCAAGAAGCTACAATTTCCTATTTCTGCTTACAATGACGAGAATTTTAAAATATCATATGCTCATATGCTCTTATTTACTATGTAGAAATTGATGTGAGTCCATGTTAGATCATTTGGTTCTTTGCTCTTATTTCACACCCCCTACAACTGCTAATTTATGGCCCCTCCAACTGCTTGTTTGCAATCTATAATGTAGAAATATGAAGATAATCATTCAATTCTAACATTCCCTAAGAGTTTGAGAAAAAATTCTGTGAAGGGAAAAGCTGCAAATAATTCCCACCCTAGTAAGTTTTCTTGTAAGAAATCTTTCCTGCCATTTGAGCTCCAGGGTAAACTCATATCAATTAAAATTTTGATATATGAAATTTTAAATGAGGATCCCCTAACTTACTGGAGAACAGGACACTGAAGAATGTCATGATTCAGGAAAACTCATTTTAATGGAAGAGCAAGAATTTTTAGAAGATTTAAAGGTCAGGTGAACTGAACGCTACAAAAAAAAATCAAAACTTAGTTTGAAGTTGTTTTTCGATAAAGGCCTCCAATTTTCTTATCTTAAATCAATATATGCTATGAATTCTGTTCCAGTTTCACTAGTGATGTCACATCTTAATAGAAATTAAATTATTCTGAAACCATATGGTATGTGAAACTTTAAAAATCACATATTCATGTGCTCACTTCGTTCGGCAGCACATATACTAAAAATCACATATTCACTAGGAAAACAAAGACAGTAACTGAAAGCAATTGCTAATTTTTTTCAAACATTCAAATTGTTTTTGAATACCAGAAATACCAGTAATACCAGAAATCAAATAAAGAAATATTAATGGAATAAGATACTACATTAAAAAAATAAAGGCATGGGATATGGTCTTTGTTACGAATGGCTTATCTTTCAGGAATAGGGGTTTTATGGGTAAGAGAGGCACACTTATCAAACATGTAAAAATGAAAACTATATCAAGCTTTAACATTTATAATCATAAAAATGATTTTCTTTGATAAAGTTTTTCTCAAGCAATGTGACAACAATACAGATTAGAATCTTTTAGGAAGCCCAATCAACTAATCAACATGATTTATTTTTTTAAAGAAAAATCAATCTATCTCTTAAATGTCAAAAACTAAAATAAGTAGAAGTTTTATTCTACTGGTAACTACTTCAGTAGTTTAGTGATTACTTCAAATGATGTGACATTTCATATCTATATTTTTAACTACTGAAACTGAATGAAAACTTGCCCCCCTACCTTTTTAAAATTTTAAATATATTCCTTGAGTGAAGTTGGAATATGGTTATAGTTATGGTAAATTTTTTTTGGTGCAAAAATCACTTGGTGTCTCCCTCAGTTACTTTAAGTCCACACAAAGAAACTAGAAATCTAGTTCTTAATTCCTTCCCACCATCTATCATGGCAATCTTGTTTAAGGATTGAAGAGGTGTGAGTTTTCATATTCAGACTGTATGAAGAGATTGAGAGAAAAAATTTTAATGCCTTATACCTAGAAATAATTTGATATGGGAACATCTTTACGCTGTTGTTAAACTCTTAATATTAAAAAATAAAACAAAACCTTGTTCTTCATGTGATATTTTCCACATAACAGGGTCTCTTTTTATTTTTTTTATTTATAACCCCCCCCCACCCCAAGATATAACAGTTTCTTAGAAGCTTGGTACGATGTCCTTTTAGACTATAAATAATGAATATTTATAATAAAGACAATATGGACAATTCTTAATTATCATGTACACATGTTTTTTAAAAAGTCTAAAAATTGGAGTTCTAATCCTAAATCTTTTTTTTTTTTTCTAATGCTTATTTTATTTTTGAGAGAGACAGAGCATGAGTGGGAGAGGGGCAGAGAGAGGGAGAACAGAATCTAAAGCAGGTTCCAGGCTCTGAGCTGTCAGCACAGATTCCAGGGCAGGGCTCGAACCCACAAACTGTGATGTGAGATCATGGCCTGAGCTGAAGTTGGACACTTAACCAACTGAGCCACCCAGGTGCCCCTCAAATCTGTTTTAACTGTGTAACTGGGCAAAATACTTCATCTTAAGGTTTTCACTTCAAAAATCAAAACCATAATGTTGGTCCTAACTATACCACAGTTTAAGGATCAAGTAAGATACTGGATATATAATAAAGCCTTTCAAAAAGCCCAGAATAGGGGCGCCTGGGTGGTGCAGTCGGTTAAGCGTCCGACTTCAGCCAGGTCACGATCTCGCTCGCGGTCTGTGAGTTCGAGCCCCGCGTCGGGCTCTGGGCTGAGGGCTCAGAGCCTGGAGCCTGTTTCCAATTCTGTGTCTCCCTCTCTCTCTGCCCCTCCTCCGTTCATGCTCTGTCTCTCTCTGTCCCAAAAATAAATAAACGTTGAAAAAAAAATTTTTTTTTAAAAAATAAAAAAAAAAAAGCCCAGAATATTAAGCAAATATAAGCTGTTATCTCCTATAGTGTGATTGGGATACGAGATCAAGTGTCAAGTTTTCATATATTTGAGGAGTTATGAATTCCTTGTTGAGTTGGCCATAAAAAAAAGAGTATGCCCTAAGTCATACAGTAAAATTTTTGTCCTTGATCTATACTATGGAAGGTTCATACAGTTAAATCAAGACTCTTTGAGCACTCAGTTTGAAATCTTTTGAAGTTCTAAAACATACCTACATAATAATAAATACTATTTAATAACAATATGTATTGTAAGGGATAATACCATTTTGCATACCTATAATTTGTGTCATTGTGTTTATCAGATATTCAGCAACTAGGAGAGTTATAATTTTCCAATATAATTCTATGACACCCAAATGAGAGAGACTGTTTTACTGAAATGATTAAAAAATGTATACCTTAACTAAATGTAGGAAGTTGAACTCACGTTTTATTCTTTTATATAGAACAACTATATTTACATCTTTTACAGTTATATATAAATTTTTCTCTTAAAGCTTAAAGGGCTTAAAAATTATAGTCAGTCCTACCTTTAGTTTGAATTCAAGCTGCGGCATGACAGATAATAATAAATGCGGATCTATCGCAAAAAGTTCCTGAATCAGATCAAATACATGTTCTGACAAATCACTTACTGACGATCTTCCCAGCACCAGGACTTGATTGAAAAACTACAGGAGATAGTAAACAAAAACAAAACATCCATTTAATTAAAAAATTTGACATATTTTTTATACACGTGTCTAAAAAACATAGATTTAGGCATTACATATATAACTGAAGGGGATGAAACAAAACAGGTATTTCAATTACTAATATATGATAGAACAGTCACTAAAATAAACCTCTAAATATCAAAATAGGAATGTCCAGGGAGAAAGATAAAAAAGATTAGCTTTCTTCCAAATTAAGACAGCATTTCTAGGAATCTTAACTTTCATAAAAACAAAACAACTTAGTTTTGTCACTCATTATAAAGAATTTTACAGAGAAATTTCTTTAAAACAGAAAAATTTAAAGACAGTCTGTTTTTTTATTCAAGTCTGACTAATTTTGCCATTAGTTTAATAATAGAGAATACTTAGGGGCACCTGAATGGCTCAGTCAGTTGAGCGTCTGACTCTTGATTTTGGCTCAAGTCATGATCTCACAGTTCATGGGATCAAGCCTCGTGACGGGCTCAGTGCTGTCAGCACCTGGGATTCTCTCTTTCTCACTTTCTCTGACCCTTGGGTAGAAAGGGTCATGCTGGCTGTCACAGGACTCTATCTCAGAAACTGTGAGATCATGACCTGAGCCTAAATCAAGAGTCTGACACTTAACTGACTGAGCCACCCAGGCACCTTGAATTTTTTTTTTTTTTTTTTAATACTCAGAGAAAGTCAAATACATTTGGATTCAGAGGACCAAGAGAAAGAAAAGGTGATGATATAAAAGCTAACTGATAATTTAAAAGAATGCTGGGAAGAAACAAAGACTATCAAAAGCACAAATTAAAAGAGACCTCTACTCCTTGCCAACATACATAACACACTTATAAAAAATATATTTAAAAATGCTAAAGAGGAAGTTGCACATAACTGACCTAAGTATATTTCTGGTAGTATCATCAAACAATATATGTCCTTTGAAAAGCAACATACATGAAAAGTTAGGTAATATTCATACTTATTATACAGACCATAGAAAAAAATTAAAAATAGTTTTAACAAGTTAAAAAATACACATACACAAAAAATGAATAAGCACAGAACAGTAATTTTGGAAGGATATATGAAAGTCTATTGGTAGAGGTTATTTATGAGAACTAAAAAAAGGGTATTCGGGGTTGAAGAGAGACACTTTTCACTGTATATTCTTTTGTGAAAAGAAACTTAGTTTTACCATGTTTAAATATTAATTTAGTAATATAAACAATACTAATAATCCATACCACTGAATATACTCCCACTTGGGTTTTTTTTTTTAACGTGGAAAATAACTCAACAATAGATAAATGCTACATTCACAAAGATAATTAATTACTAAAAAGAAAACATTGAACAAAATCTAAATGCAAGATAATAAGGAAATGGTTAGGTAAATTATGGGTATATGTCAGTTCAAAAAACATTTATAGTCATTTCTATTATAAATAAGATAATATCAAAATATAGAGATATATACAAATACAGACAATTCAAAATTTTATATAGCATATCTGAAAAAATAGAGGGGTATGAGCACATGTGCAACAGTGGAATTAACTGATAAATGGACACAGAGAGCCAAAGGTAAAGAAAGGAGAAAGTAAGAGAGATCAGCATATTGGGGAGATAAAAAGATAAATATAAATACAAACGCAGTAAAAGGGGTGAAGTTGTAGACAAGTTTTCATAAAATATCTTCTATCTTATGCCATTTAAAAATGTCAAAGCTTATATATGTATTTTGTATTTGGTCACATCTGGATATATCAGTTCTTTTATGTATTTGTTTTAAATAGGTGAAACTGTTTATAGGCTAAATAAAACTATATGTAAAAGATCCCAGTAAGTTAATACAATGGATTAAGAATTATACAATTATAGAGTAAATATAAACAGAAATACATACATTGGCAATGCATGCCTCAATAGTCTGGACTGTCCTTTTCAACAGGACTTTTGCAAGGTCAAAGGACTGTTTATTTAAGTTCTGAAACACAATAAAAATATGCAAAGTTACAAAGGAGTTTGTGAATTTATGAGATAGCACCATAACGCTATTATCTTCAAATCTATAAACTATAAAGCAAAAAATATCACTGGATCTCATTTAAGGTTTTACCCAATATTCTCTAGACAAGGGGTCTTAAATGCAGAAGTTGCAAATAGTGCTGTAATTCAAAAACAAACATACATTAGTTAGCCAAAAGCTCAACCCTATAGTATGTTTAGTTTTATTAAATAGAAAATGGACCTTAGGGTTTTTGGGTTTGTTAACCAGTTTGAACTGTCAATTCTACCCCTGAATCCTAAATGAATACACACAGACACCCTAACCCATCATCCTAAGTATTTCATTGTCTAATCAATATGTCCTCTAAGAAAGAGTACACCTGCAAAGTATCTCAAGAAAAACAGCTGGTCAATTATACTTGTGAAATGTTGAATACTGTGTTTGCTCCTCAAGATTCCCTGTACACTGTAACAAATTAAAGGGTCTGAGAAAGATCACAGAAAAGACATATTTAATTTTTAAAAACTTACTTGGAATGGATTTCTCATTTTAAAGAGTACCTATCAATATCTCTATACTTGGGAGTTTTGGACCAAACTGAGATTCATTCACCATCATCCTGCACCTCTCCCAAAAAGATGCTAGGAAACTTTTTATGCAAAGAGCCAGATGGTAAATATTTTAGGCTTTCTGAGTCATACAGTTACTGCTGCAACTATGCAATTCTGCTGTTGAGCACAGCCATAGGCAAAATGAAAATGAATGAGCATGGTTGTGTTCAAATAAAATTTTATTTACATAAATAGCTAGTAGGCCAGATTTGGTTCACAAGCCACAGATTCTTGACCCTTGCTCCAAGATTTTATTCTACTGGCCAAAGGATAAGATTAGCTCAAAATTAAGGCAACCTTTCTATTTCCTAAAAGGAAATATATATATATATACATATATATATATGTATATATATATGTATATATATATATATTTCCTTTTAGGAAATATATATGTGTATATATATATATATTTCTTAATCATAAAAATACTAACTAGAATATAAACACCAAATATGCTATCTATTCCTCAGAGTTTTTCCTTTCTTATTTTGCCTGACATATACTGCCCCCTGTTTGCCATACTCTCAAAATTCTGGCCAATTACAGATTCATTTGAATTAATAAAATGCAAATCATATTTAGAGGCAGGAGAAGAACTTATAATAATTAACTGTGTTATTAGAGAAGTGTAATTAGATACACCTTTCATCTAACATCTGATAATAGATCACTGAACCATTAGAGGAAAAGAGCAAGAAGGTGAATATCACTAAGGTAGACTGAGTATGGCCCTGTGGTAGAGTCTGTGGAAAGCTAAGTCCTTCAGTTCCTTAGGAAGACTTAGCAGAGAGAAACAGAAAAAGGAACCACAGGGAGAAATACACAGCTCTGAATCATCTCTTTCCCCTTAATATTAACCATATAGTTCCTGCTTCTACTAAATCTCTTTTTCTGAAAATGGCCAAGAAAAATGTAGGATATGGATTCTGAGAAGAAATACAATTCCTATGTTCCACGTCTATGTTACAAAGGAGGCAATATTTTTTTCTTTCCATAAAAACCCATAAACCACCCCACCCCCACCAACCAAAACCTAACCAAGACAGTACTCTCACTTCTTTTAATTCCCACATTCGATATGAGTGGTGAATGTGAAAAATTCTTGTTTTCCAGAAAATAGGCAGCACTTCACTGAATGAAAATCTTCTACCATTATAATATGTTAATCAGTAAACCTTCTAAAAACAATGGCTACAAGACTGATGTGTGTTACATTATTTTATTTGGGACTGGAGAATGATAGTGGGAATAATTACATGACATTGCAATCAGTGAAAAACAACTATTTTTAGTTGTTAAACAACATTAACCTTTAATATCTTCATAATATACAGACCTTATGTGCAGGAATGAGGTTAATAAGAATGGAGTCCAATAATTCTTGAGTAACTCCATCACCTTCCATGATGATAGAACTCATCAAGTCTAGCATGTGCATTTGTACCTTTTTATTGTGGCTATTGCTTAAAAAAAAAACAGAAAAGAAAAAAAATCGGGCTTACAAAAAGAAAATTATATTTCCCAGTTTAAAACAACTATCTCAGATATAAAAGAATTTTCCACTTGAGGGAACCATGCCAATAATGGCAAAGAAATTTTGATTGCTCTATTTACTTTCTCCCTCAGCTGTATGGTACCGTATTTTACAAAACCAAAGACCTTTAAAATGAATTAAGTCGCTATACAATTAGGATTCAGAGTGAGTTATATTCAACCAAACAAAAACATCAACTTCAAAGAAAGGACATCTTTGCTTACATGACCCCAGATTCTAAAAGGTGATAAAATTTCAATTAAGAAAGTACAAGATAATGAAAGCAGACAGTCTTTCATCCCTTGTATCCTTTTAGATCTTAATATATTTCCCAAAATAAAACTTTATATAAACACCAAAACAGCCTCAACCAATACAAGTAATTTTTGCTATAAATCTTTGTCACTAGAGATTTAATTTACCAATACTGAAATCAAAAGTCTGATATCAAATGTTTACCAGAATTTATGACTAGAAGGTTCTGAAAACGTCAGTAGGTATCTCTCAAAGAATTTCAAATAAATGAAAAATCAAGCCTAGAGTCATTTTTACTCCTACTTCCTTAGCCAGTGAAGAGTCAAATGTAGGCTTCCTCAATAAATGTCTCTACCACTGATATAGTGCTTATCTAAAAAGACTAGCTATAAAACCTTTATAAGTGGTAGAACATTTAGTTTTCTCTCCTTCTGAATGCATCTTAACTAAAGACCTGACCTGTCTACTTTCACATTTATCAGATATATATGTAAAGACAAATCAAAAGAAATGATATAATTTAGTTATACTACTATACTATACAGGGAAGTTTAAATCAAGACCAAATTTTAATATTATTTACATATCTCTTAATTAAAAAAAATAATAACATGAAATAAGTATAGGATTTGATTATACTACTATAAATCAAAAGAAATGATATAATTTAGTTATATTATACTACTATACTATACAGGGAAGTTTAAATCAAGACCAAATTTTAATATTATTTACATATCTCTTAATTAAAAAAAATAATAACATGAAATAATGTATAGGAAACCTGTGGAGCACTTGATGGTAAAATGCAAAGATGAAAATTTCTTAAGTTGGTAGAAAAATTATCACATTAGATACACCGTTTCCTACAACTTTTGGAAAGATACCCCATTGCATGCCTTCTTCCAAATATCCTGTCTACTAAAGGATATTAGATCATGATGAATCAACTATATAGTGTTAAGGGGTAGTGTGTGTAAGGGGGTTAAAAAAAAAAAAAAGAAATATTCAGGTTGACACACACAAAAAAAGTGAAGAGAGTAGTTAACTCTCAGACCCAAATATACTTTGGGATAGGAAAGGACTAAGGTGAAGATGGTTTCAACAGGTTCTAGTCAAGATGCAATAACTGGGATAGAATTTACCTTCCTACCTGAAACAACTAAAAAACTGAACAAAATATATGAAACAACAGTTTTCAGACATTGAACATCATGCACATGTTTGTGAGAGAGGTTGACAATCTTCCCAGGATTGACTGGTAAGTTTCCAGTGTGGGTAAGGAAGATCCTGACAGACACTAGTGGTTTTCCTGAGTCCGGAAAGACTAGAGTTTGCAGGGGAAAGACTAGAATATCAGAGGGGAGAGACCTATTCAGAAAGCAGGTTTGTAAAGGGTATCCCCTGAATCTTCAAATACTTAAAGACCAGGACGTGCATGTGAAGAAATTTCTTCAGTTTAGGGAAGATACTACCTGAAAGGGGGGAGCAGAGCGAAGAATCCTTGGAACTTACAAAGATCTTAGAATAGTGCATTTTCCAATCACAATAGAAAAATCTCACAGTTCACAGAGCATCTCGTAGTGGGAAGGCTAAACCTACATATCCAAGCCTCAGTAAGTCTCAAGCACAAGAAGAAGAAAGAAAACTTCATGATGGTACATCATAATCAAATTGCTTGAAACCAGTAATAAAGGTAAAATCTTAAAAGTGGGTAGAGAAAAAAAGATACATTGTGTAGAGAGGGACAAAGATTAAAAATGAAAAAACTTCTCATTAGAAACAATGAAAACCAGAAAAAGATGGAGCAACATCTTTAAAAGTACCGAAAGAGAGAAAAAAAAAAGAAAAAAGCCTATCAACTTAGAACTCTTACCATGAAATAACTTTCAAAAATGAAAGTGGAATAAAGATATTCAGACACATAAAAACTGAAAGAATTCTATCAGCACCAGACCTGAACTATAGAACATGTTAAAGGAAGTCCTTCAGACTGAAGAAAAATAATAGCACACAGAAATCTGCATCAACACAAAGAAATGAGGAGCACCAAATGGTAAATGTGTCAGTAAATACAAATCAATGAGCTTCTCTTTCAAAAGGCAAGTCTTTTACTCATACATCATTGTGAATTAAGTAGATAGATAATGAGGTCAACAATAAACTTAGATCTTTAGGTTCAGTAAATAAAAATATTAATGGATCAAAGAAAGGTGTGTGTATGTACAAGCAATTGTGAGAGGAAAGAAGTGTTAAGGGCAGAGTGCGAAATGGACTTAAGGGGATATTTAAGGTCAATAAGATGGGCAGACTGATGGCAGTTTTAGGAGTTTTTAAATTTTGTTGATTTTAATTTTAAAAGAAAAAGTTGCGAAAATGTGACAGGATGCACAAAATGGCACAAATTATTCTCATCTCTGTATTCATATGCCTTTAAAATGTTGTTCCTCCCATGAAGATATGGAGTCTAACCAACCTTTGTATCTGGGCTTGATCATGTGCTTTGTTTGGCCAATAAAATATAAGTAAACATAAAGTGAGTAGAGGTTTAAAAAGTGCTTGTGAGGTAAATCATGCTTTTTCTTGCTACTTTTGAAACCTAGTCAGCATTTGAAAAGTCCTGGGCTACCTTGCTGGATGATGAGAAGATGAGAGAGACACATGACCTAGTTGTCCTATTTCTCAGCCAACTGCCAGACGTCTTGCCAGCTGACTGCAAATACATAAGTGAGACCACCCCAAACCAAAAAGAATTGCCAAACAGAATCATGAGCTAAATAAGATGGGGGCTATTTTAAGCTACCAAGTTTTGGGTTGTTATGCAGAAAAAGCTAACTAACACAAAAGGTAAAGTTTATATACTTTACCATTTATTTACAGGCCTTCAGTTAGTTGCCACAGGAAGCTTTTTTCTCATGCAGTCTCTTTATAAACGTCTATTTCTATACCATTCCAGTCCAGTCCTTTCCTGTTTATTCCAGGTTAAATTCTATTCCTACCATTCTATCTAAGGAAATACAAAACATGACAGTATTCATAAAAAACTACAGAAAACCCTAGAAATGTGCTGTCCAATATGGAAGCCATTAAATAATAGCCACTTGGCTATTAAACACTTGTAGTATGAACAGAACCACATATTGAAACAATAATGCTTTTGGAGGGGCGATTAGGTGGCTCAGTTGGTTAAGCATCTGACTTGGGCTCAGGTCATGATCTTGCAGCTCATGAGGTAGAGCCCTGTGCTGGGCTCTTGCGCTGACAGCTGAGAGCCTGGAGCCCGCTTCAGATTCTGTGTCTCCCTCTCTCTCTGCCCCTTCCCTGCTTTCTCTCTCTCAAGAATAAATAATAAACATTAAAAAAACATTTTTTTAAATAATGCTTTTGGATATTGTGGGATAAAGTATATTATCAAAATAAATTTTACTTGTTTCTTTCTATCTTTCTAAATGTGGTTCCTAGAAAATTTTAAATTTAGGGTGCCTGGGTGGCTCAATTGGTTAAGCATCCAACTCTTGATTTAGGCTCAGGTCATGATCCCATGGTTCGTGAGTCTGAGCCCTGCATCAGGCTCCAAACTGACAGTGCAGAGCCTGCTTGAGATTTTCTCTCTCTCTCTCTCTCTCTCTCTGCCCCTTCCCCACTTGTGCACATGTTCTCTCTTTCTCAATAAACTTTATAAAAATTTTTTAAAATTTATGTGAGATATGTTTGTATATAGTGCAATGCTATAAAACATATCTCAGAAAAATGCTTGGTTTACTGTACAAAAAAACAGAACAACAAAACACAACACAACACTGGACTGAAATCAAGAGCTTGGGCTGTCCTGTTCAGTGATGTGTCCTTGGGCAAGCTACCACACTCCTTTCCCTGTGCATTACTGCTACTTATGTAAAGAGCAATGCTTAAGATTTTTTTCTAGCTCAAAAATGGGAATCAGTGTGCTTCCACTGAAGTACTATGATTTCCAGCACTCACTAATGGTACTTAAATACTTATAATTTCCACCTCATAACTTAGTACTTCATTATATAAGGTCTCACACCATTTGCTTTATAAGATTCAACCAATATAACTGATACTATAATTTCAAATGGTAGTATGAGAGCAAAGGCAGCTTTCAGACAACAGATCTTATGTTCCTCTTCATTTCAAGTCTTCTAAGGAAAACACCTTGTTAAAAATCTAAAAGATCTTAGTTACAGGCACAGTACACAGTACACAGTACTCCAATATATGCACAGCAAGAAAAAAAGACAAACAAATGCTTAAAAAATAACTTACTTGATCACTGAGAAGAGAGTCCTAAAAAGTTGAATAAAAATTTCATTGCAATCTTCCAATTCGAAGCAGATGTTATATGATTTAACCCAAGCTAAGTTCTTAAATAAATAAATAAATGATTATTTACACATGCACAGAATAATTTCACAAAAGCAAACTCATTATTAAAATTTCATTTTCAGAATTACAAATGTATATTAAAGCTTATGAAGATCCAACTATACAAAATTAAAGTTGTTAAACTTTAGTTCTTCATATACTGTGACCTTTAAAAGACCTCTATCTGTTAGCATTATCCTTTAACTGAAAAATACTAAACTGTTAGATATTAGTAGACATATACACATACTATATATAAGGAACAGTGAAAATTAATTCAACTTAATCCCTCTTCAGATTAGAAGAGAATAAAAATAGAAAAATGAAAACAGAGTTTCAAATAGAATAGATTTTCCAGCAGAATGTACTTCATCTTAAAGAAGATATTTTATTAAAGGGGATTTGTATAAAACAAAAAAATTTCATTTTACACAAGAAAGTTACTAAAAAGGAATTTATTACACGAATAGCATGATATTTATTAAAATTTTTTTTTACCTCTAATAAATAAAAGTATCTATTAAACTGTGGACTCTTTGTATCCTCCAAACCTTTTAATTGTCTGGTAATAAACAAAAATATGTCCTGTTAAAACAAAATGATAAAATACATTAGTTTAGATACAAATACTTAATACTCTTTCTTTCACAATACACTAATAATAATCTGTATATATATTCTCTATTACATATTATAAAACAAAATTCTCCTTTAGCTGAATGACTTGAGTGAGACTGGTTTAGTCCATTATTCCAAATAATGAGAACAGAGCAAATCATATAAAATTATATCCTTTAGAAATGATAAAAAAAAAAAAAGTTTACTATTGCCATAAATCTTTAGGCTTTCTCATTCTAGGAGAAACATAAGTTCTGTATCTTATTACCCTTTCTTCGACTACAGAACTTCTACTTACTATCTTCATCTTGCATTATGCCAAACAACCGTCTTCATTTTAAGATTCTGCACAAGAGTCTTTCCATTACTATTTCCTACATGTAAATAGTAATTTTTAGTATCTAGCTTGAATCTGTTGTGCAACTACAAATTTGTGTGGAACAAAAATAATAACAGACTGGTTTAAAGGTTGTACTTTTTATGACAATAGTGTGCCATTTCTTAATAAGCTTTCTTTAGAAGTTTTAACCCAAAATAGAATCAATATGCAAAAAACTGACTTGAGGACTATTAAAAAGAAAGCAGCTCAAAGTATTAAAATTTGCCAAGAATAAAATTATTCAGAATATGGAGTGAGCTCAAGAGGAACTGAAAAGAATTCCTCAAACATTCCAAACAAAGACAGAAATCTCCAAGATGAGCATAATGTAATTGTGCATGTAACTTGCAGGGGGAAATCATCATTTGAATATGTAAATTCTGTTACACTACTGTTTTAAAAGTGTCATTAATCCACTATTTATCCCTACAATTCAGCCATCTGGGCTTTGTGATGGGTTATCATGAAGGTTACAGATGAGGAGACAGGGACTAGTTTTGATCTAAACCCTAAATGCCTCATAAAAATACCATTTTTGTGGATATACAAAGAATTTTAATTGATTTGTTTTACAATTTATGATATAATCTTATGATGATAGGTGAATAATAATAAAAACTATGTCCCTAAAGGTAACCTAAACTAGAAAAGTAAACTAATTCTGTAAAGACTATATTTACCTTAAGTTTATCGTGGGAAGTATACGGAGCTTCTGGGGCATAGATTCGAAAGATGTCAGCCAAACAACATGCTACAAGGAGACGCACATCTTTATTGGGATTCCTGAGGAAAAATTCAGATGCAAGATGCAAGGCTAGTGGGAGATACTGCTGTTTTTCGTCTTCTGAGTCCTGATCCATATCCATAAAAGTTTTTACTACCATCTGAAAAAATGTATGAAAGGAAAAAAAAATACTCAACTCCTAATATTTAGAAATTAGTAGAGGATATATATTTTTTAAAACTCATGTCCATTACAACACAAACTAGTAATCACTATCAGAGGATTCATAATCAAGTGTAGTATGGACACTTTAACAATATTCTTCCAATCCTTGAGCCTGGATTCTTCGTGAGAGTCATTTAAGATTGTTATCATTTTACACCTACCCCAGGTAAAAAGTTCTTAGCTTCATATGAACAGCCAAACTCATATGATATTTTGTAACATCATCAATTGTTTCTTTTATATTTTATTATAAAAGCTGTCTTGACTTAGGCTCTTTTATTTTTAAGTATTTAAAAAAATATTTATTCTTGGGGGTGAGGGAGGGAGCAACACATGAGCAGGAGACGGGCAGAGAGAGAGGGACAAAGAGAAAAAGAGAATCCCAAGCAGGCTCCACACTGTGAGCATGGAGGCCCATGCAGGACTCGAACTTAGAATCACAAGATCATGATCTGAGCAGAAATCAAGAGTCAGATGCTTAACTGACTGAGCCATCCAGGCACCCCACCCCCTTTTTTTAAAGTTTATTTATTTGAGAAAGAGAGAGATCGTGTGTGTGCTTGTGTGCAAGCAGGGGAGGGTAAAGGGAGAGAATCCAAAGCAGGTTCTGCACTCTCAGCATAGAGCCTGATGCAATGCTGAAGTCTCACAAATTGGGAGATCATGACCTGAGCCAAAATCAGTGTTGGAGAGGATGTGAGAAATAGGGGACCCTCATGCACTGTTGGTGGGAACAAACTGGTGCAGCCACTGTGGAAAAGTGTTGAGGTTCCTCAAGAAATTAAAAATAGAAACCATACACCTCAGTAATTCCATTTCTGGTTATTTACCTGAAGAAAATAAGAACACTAATCAGGAAAGATATGTGCACCCTGATGTTTACTGCACCATTATTTACAATAGCCAGGATATGGAGGCAACCTAAATGTCCACCAACAGATAAGTGGATAAAGGTGATATACACACACACAAGAGAATATTACTCAGCCATAAAAAGAATGAAATCTTGCTATTCATGACACAGATGAACCTACAGGGTACTATACTAAGTGAAATAAATCATACAGAAGATGACATCATATGTATTGAATTTTATCATTTTTTCTGCACCCACATATTTTCCTAATTCTGTGAAAGTAAATCCCACTGACTAGTCTTCTAATTTTAATCCAAGTTTCTATTCCTAAAATCTAATTTTAGTCCAAGGTTCCATTTTAAAATAAAGCCAACTAGGTCATTGCATTTGTACACTTCTAGATTTGAGATGCTATTATTTCAATTTTTGCATTTCTATTCATGAAAGAAACTGACCTATAACTTTAAGACAACTTGTCCATTTTAGAAATGAGGTTGTACTGGCTTAAAACAAATTGAGAAGTGATCCCTTCTCTTCTACCATGGAAAGTTTGTAGTAAGACTGGTTTTATCTTTCTTCCTTAAATATTTAGTGAAGTTCAACTCATCAAAGAAGGAATCATAAAGGAATTTAGAAAATACTCTGAACTGAATGACAATGAAAATATAAATTATCAATACTTGTAGGCTGCAATTAAAGCTGTATTTATGGGAAATTTATAGCCATAAAAGTATACATCAGAAGAATGAAAAATCAGTGATCTACATGTCCATCTCAAGCAGTTAGAAAAATACCAAGTTAAATAAAAAGGTAGAATCAAAAGAGGAAAAATTAAGAACAGACACCAATGAACTGGAAAACAAACATACAAAAGAGAAAAACCAAATAATGCCAAATGTTGACTGTTGAAAAGACTGACAGAATTGACTTGCCTCTACAGGAATAAATCGAGGAGAGAGAGAGAAGTCACAAATTACCAGTATTAGGAATGAAAAAGAGGACATATTACCCATTCTAATAATAATAATACATGGCGGGGGGGCTGTCACATGAAACACACTATCTGAATAATCCTCCCTTTTTTTGAGTTTTATTTTTGAGACACAGAGAAAGTGCATGCATGGAGGGGGAAGGGCGGGTGCGGG